TCCGCCATGAAATGACCATATTTAAATGTATCAAGTGTTACTGGCAATCAGGTGCATCCATTATCGCGCTGTTATTCCCTGCTACGTGCACTGCTCTTCGACCAAAGGTGACGCGACCTGCGCGTATGCAAGGTACAACGCATCGAGGATAAAACATCATTGGCGGAGTTTACTCGCACATCCGGGCTCTCGCGCGAGATGCGAAACTACCGTTGGGGGGCGGCCGGGCCCGGCCGGCGGAGGGGGGGCGGGCGCCGGGGGCGGCGGCGGCCGGCCGGGGCGGCCGGGGCCGCGCGCGCCGCGCGGGCCGGGGGCGCCGGGGCCGCGGCTCGGGGGCGCGGCCGCAGAACAAGAGGCACAGAACTGTCAATCGCTGTTAATTCGATAGTACAGCCAGAGCATATAAATCACGTTGACTTATATATATGCTCTGGTACAGGGTACGTTCCGCAGTACCCTGGCGGGACATAGACCCTCTCAGCACTAGTACTTAATAGTACTGCGATAGTTCTATGTCTCCCTGACCTCTGTTGACCTGTCTCGTTTAGCCCTAATTTCTTGACTAATATATATATATATATATATATAAATAGGTTATGCTGCGTTCAGACATGTTTTGTAAATCTTTACTCTAATATAGACGTTTTATCGGCAGGGTGGAGAGGAAATACCAATTTTGCATTAAAGATATTGTCAATGAAATCTTGTAAAACGAACCAGACGAGTGTGACACCACAGACTGTTTGTGTCTATATAATATGCTATATAATTGCCAAACCCTACCCTTATTCATTCACATACCAAAAATGAGCAAAATCCGTTGAACCTGATCGAACTGACTAATGGCAATTCCCATTTTTGCCAAAAAATTGTCGTGGCTCGAAAGTACGTCGACTGGCGTGCTTCAAAATAGGACGTTTAATATGGGAGCATAGCAGTAACAACTACCCAATTTCAAACATGTGGGCCAAACAGTTCCTGAGTTATCGTTGACCGTAGCGAAATGTTGACGGACGGACGGACGGACGGACGGACGTACGACGGACGACGACCCATGGCAATATAGCTCAGCTTGACGATGTCAAGGTGAGCTAAAAAAATAAATAAACACGAAATGTATTTACTACCAAAGTCTTAATGTTTCTCTACTCTATTTCGCCTATAATCACCTGTCGATGCCAGTCAACTGCTCATCTGCAACACGCTAGTACACCGCACGCCCGTGCTGTGCACAAACAACAATAATAAGAGTTTTCTCATTCATGTTATTCATCTTGTTCACTCCGTACTCATCATTCTCATATTCATCTTATTAATAAATATTATTGTTGTTTGTGCACAGCGCGGGCGTGCGGTGTACTTGCGTGTTGCAGATGAGCATTTGACTGGCATCTACAGGTGATTATAGGCGAAATAGAGTAGAGAAACATTAAGACTTTGGTAGTAAATACATTTCGCGTTTATTTACCATTATTTTTTTTATTGAGACGTTCCAAGTGCCTGTGAGTGTGAGTGTGAGCAGTAGTACATTGACTTACATTAGCACTTACATTTATTGGTGGTGATTGTATATTAGTATTAACTTTTGCTGGCTTTGGAAATTTCTTTGTAAAGAGCTCTAATGAAGCGATTTTCTCCTTGTGATTTAAAGCGCTTTTACTTAGACCTAGTATAGATTTGTTTTTTACTATCTTCGTTGCTTCACCACTGTCATTGGCACCTCTACCAGAGCTTAACAACGACGCTATACTGCCAACTTTATAGTCACTCTGCATTATAAAATGGCTGCGATAAATATAATATGAGTATGTTACAAGTGCGACTAAATAACACCGTCTTGGTCGCAAATATTATCTCAATTCAGACTGGTAAACATCGCATGTAATATGGGGGCAGACATACTTGTACACTCACGCCATCTAGATTCAACAATGAAAATAATGTAAATTACCAATTTTTATGGATTTTTACTAAAGAAGTTTATACTGCATATTTTTTAATTACTTACACAATAAAAAGAATTCTGAGAATTTCAGTTATGACGTATACTTATGTGGGTGTATGTGTTACTTGAACGCATGCATGCATCCACGTGCGTGCAGATGACACAACCCTCCCCCCCCCAACCAAAATGACAAAGCCGTACACACAATTAAGCACGCAGCACTAAACTAAACAAGTCATTTTCTGCTGGCCACACAAAGGAGCTAGATATATATGTGTATCTATGTGTATCATATGTGGACTGTTATATTCACCTCGCGTGCACGGATTCTGTAGGTTTCGGTGGAACATCGCAATATATTTAGACCTATAAGAGGGGTTTTGACCAATCAGCGTGTGGGAAAAATGACAGTCATATAATAATATGTATTATATAATATATACTACATAGTTTAGCACCTTGGATCACACGTGGCCCCATACCATGAGACCCGGGACCCCGGATATTGAACAATACCGTGAAGCGCATGTTACATAATATCAAGAGTGGATAAAAGAGATTTATTTTATCCTTTAGATTTTTATCCTTTAGATTTATTTTATTATTAGATCTCTTTTATCCACTCTTGATAATATGTATTTGATATATAGTAAGTATATAAAAGATGGCAGTCAGTTAAACATTATGAAATTGCTACACTACAACCCACACGCGCACGCACGCAAGTAAGCACGCACGCACGCACGCACGCACATTCAGTTGGCGCGCGCATTTTCAGTCATACCCGCGGTAAATACAGTTCCGCACCGCACGGGGCGCATCTAGCTTTCAGGAGACGGGGGTTGATATGTCAGTGAAGTGGCCGACGGCACCCGGTGCTAGGGTGGCCCGGGGGCTTGCCCCTCCCATCTGAAAAATTCAGGCAGCTGTGTGGTCACAGAGAAAATCCCCCGTTTTTATCGAATTTTGCACAGGGGCGAGATAGTGATCCGCTAGGGGACGGCTCTGATTGGCTAATTTTGTCTCTTATTTATTTTATTTTTTATTATTTTTGGCTAATTTTGTTTTATTTTAGAATTAGGGTTAGGGTTAGGGTTAGGGTTAATTGATTTCTATATCCACAACTTATTTCTACATTCACTATCTCTCCCCTTAGACCTACTAGTTTCTATCAGCCTGCAGACTGACGTTTTCATTTTTGGCCCCCATTTTACTAGTGAACGGGGGGTTGCACCCCTTCCCCTTCTAGATCCGCCACTGCGCACACGCACGCGCGCACACACATTTGACGCACGCATTTACAGTCATACCATGCGTTGCAGTAAATAATGCGTTCCAGAAAAAAACGTTCGTAACGCGTAAATCTGTAACGTGAATCGTTTTCAAAGCATCTAGTATATATAGTGACACAGTATCATGATAATAGGCCTACTGGGGGAAAAGGGAGTTTAGAATTAGAGTTATTGAGAGGGAGTGAGTGGGGCATTATTACCAGCTGGCAGGCATTTGCCCAAGGGGTGGGGGCTCACAATGCGAGTGGGGATGGGAGGGGAAACGTGTAGTGCGAATGCATTTTTCAAGTTTGAGGGTTTTCAATGGGCACGTGGAGTTTTTAGCAGGATATTATAAATAAATAGCTATATTTATAACCATTGATATATTGTAATATGTAATGTGTACCTACAAATAAATTGCCCCCAACCTTGCTGATTGTTTCCCTAAGTTACTGAGGCTATCGCAGTGTTACAGACGACGAGCGACTGCACTAACACACAGTGTGTTCTCCGACGAATTACTGATATATTTCCAGGTGCGCGTGGTGGGTGCAATGAGCCTCAGCCTGGGCCACTACCTCTCAGGTTTGCATCTTTTTCGTTATTGTATAACACTACGATTCGACAGGCGTGTACCTGCATATGCCCCTGCGTGTACGCACATACCTGTGCGCGGCGCCTACGTGGAATACCTGCATGTGTTCGTGCAGTCGCGTGTACCGGTGCGTGCACGGGTATACGTGCACGCGCGCACGCGTGTATGTGACTATACCTAAAAAACGTAAAAATACGTAAAAAAAACGCGCATAGTTAGATTGGTAAGTTAGCTCTCGGTATATCTTTTCGGTGCGCGTCGCGCCGCGGTTGCGTTCGTGTATCATGCTCGGGATACGATGACTATACGGTGAGCTTTTGTGCAGACTCTCTGTGGTATGACACCGCAATTTCTTACAGGGAGTGACAAGCCAGTGTTAATAGCTGTTGTTGCATGGCGTTAACGCGGTTATTGACCCAGATGAGAGACCGGATACCAGAGAAGCGTCGCCTGAGAGGTGTTGATCCTGCCCGCTAAGCGCGNAGTCTAGGGTTGAGATAGTATCATCAGATATGAGAATATGGCCCACAGTATGCCTCAGATTGCAGGAAAAAGGCTTAAATATTTCAAACTGGCATGCCTACGGCACGTGCCAAACGTACGCTTGTCAAATTTGGCATGTGAGTGCATGTATGTATGCATGTATAAATGTATGTACGTGTGCTTGAGTATGTGTGTGTTTGTTGTTTGTTCGGTTGTGTGTGTATCATGTGTGTGTGTGTGTGTGTGTGTGTGTGTGTGTGTGTGTGTGTGTGTGTGTGTTGTTGTTGTTGTTGTGTGTGT